ATATGATATGAATGTAATTTGATGAAAGTGATAATAAAAGGGGTAATGATTGATTAGGGTTGGACAATTATTTGTCAAATGGATCAATTTCATTGCAAGGAATGATTGCATGAGCGTAGAAAGTGTTCAATCATGAACTTAAAGACAAAAAAGAAATAAAGAAGAGAAAAAATGATATGAAGGGAGTATATGCAGCAGATAACATTTACACGGAGTAGCGATCATACATGAGTAAATAAATATTTTTTGAAGATACAACAAAAATGGATAAAACACGCATATTATGAGCAGATCAGGCATGCATAACATGAAGAGAAAAATGGAAGAGGATGTGTATATTGTGATTGTTGGATTATGTTCTACAATTTATTTGTTAATGTTCTTTTTGCTCGTTCTTACCATTAATGTTTGTACAATGTTTGTTATAGCGGTAAGTTAGAGGATGTGAAAATATGATATGTCTGGTTTGGTAGAAAGCATTCATATCTGTTCTCTATGTATTTTGTTCTTGGTGTTTTAACTCAGTGCAAAGGATGACGACAATGCTTAATGTGAAGACATGTTTCTGTTTTTACGAGATTGTGGTTGGGAACAATATGTAAATCGAAGTGTTGATCAAAGTGTTGATGATAAAATAAGAAAGGAGAACTACAATAAAGCGGTTGTACATGAGTATCGTGGAGATATGTTGAATATGTGTGTGCATTTACTTCTTGATGATGCACATTTTGTAAACAACTTTGGTTTTGGGAAATCGAGAAAGTGAAAAAGAGAGAAACAAGTAAGAATCAGAGCACAAGACGAGAAGAACAAATATATTATTAACGAGTTTGTGCAGCACGTTATTGGTCATACTGTATTGTTCATATGGCATGTTTATTGTGTCCGGATAAACAATTCAACTAATAATAAATAATGGGTACGAGCCATGTAGGAGATGGTATTGAGTATAGATTGGAGCAGGAATTGATGTGGAGGGTATGCCAGAATTGGATGGATATTTTAGCAGATTATATGTAGAGTACTAATATGTAGATTGACACAAGTGTAGAGAAATAGAAATGATGATAAAAAGTGGTAAAACAAAGAAGATATGAGCAGAACAGAGATGCAGGAATGAAAAAAGATGTGTTGTTATTACACATGGTATGATGTATTCGATACCTTTTTCAGACATAGTATTTTAGTTCATTGAGAGTCTGTTTATCAAAATAAGTTTTACAATTTTTAGATCCAACAAGAATGTAATAGCAGTTGGGAGAAGTACGAATCAATACGATGACATGTAATAAAGGAGACTAGAAGTGTTTGTTATTGGGTATATGTAACAATGATATGATTAGAGGATATTTTGAGATGTTTAGGTACTCCGTTTTTTCGCTAAAAAGTTGGAAGAAAGGAGGGTGCTAGGTTTTTTAGTTTATAATGTTTTTGTGGTATATTATGATAGGTATCCCGATAAGGACAACAGCAAATATAGATAATGGATGGAGAAAAAGGAATAAAAATATGCTAAAAAGGACAAAAAATGATAAAAAGGACAAAGAGGAATAAAAAAGGAATAAAAAACAAAGAAGTTGAGATTATTAACAGAATATAAATAAAAATGAACGAGAAAATAGAAAGTAGGTGATTACGAGCGAATAGGGTAGAAGTAATAGAGGAAGAAAATGGAATAAATAAGATAGTTATATTCTTTTCGATTGGTACAAAGACGATGTTATTTGTTATGTTTGGAACAGGCAAAAGAAGAAAAGTCAAGAATGAGTAATATATAAAGACTTTGATACAAGAGAAAATATGAATAGGTTGGAGACAAGAATGCTTATTTATATTGTATTGAGATGATAGAGAATAACGAATGGATGATTAGGAGTAGACGGATAGTATGAGTATAGATAGGCAATGATAGGAATAAAAATAAAAGAGTTAGTTAATGACAGTGGTACAGATATATAATGGGATATAAGACAAATAGTAAATGGATGAGGACGAGAGGGTATATTGTTGATGGATATTTTGGCAATGATCCAGCTATTTCTTTGGAGATAGAAGAGACTTTATATTGAGATGTATATTATTTTGATAAATAGTGGAGTGAGTAGAACAGTAGTGGAATGAAATAGTTTGATGTATAGAAAGTATGAAGAGATACCTGTAGTTGGATAGGGCAGAGCAGACATGTGGG